GAGGAAACCGAGAGAAACCCTCTAGCTCTGAAACATCCCCAGCAGCAGAGCACAGACTCGCAAGAGAAGGGCAAAGAACGAGAGACAGCACCGAGGCAGGGGCAAGATTGCAAAGTGAAACAATGAAGAAACTGTAATGTCAGCTAGAGACGGGTACTCAGCCAGGCAAATGGCAGGTTAACACGAAGACCTGTACTGAGAAAGAAGAGGTTTGAGGGCTGCCCCAACAGAGAGATCTCTGGAAGCACAGAAATCCGTCACTCCTGGAACTTGCTGCATGAAAGTGTAACAACAGTGGATGGGAGGTTATTTTTAAATATATTTCTGAAATCAGAAGTCTTTATCTTGAATGTTTGGCTGAATTTATATGTAATATTTAGTCATCATCGCCATATTCTCAGTTGTATTCTAGAACCCTGAGTGTGCAAAATCCCAGTAGGTACTTAACCGAGGAAAACTGGCTCCACTACAACCGTCTAAAAACAATTTAAACAACTCTTCAATAATGTTGGTTTTATTGCAATGAGCTGTTTTGTTTTGTAAATAAAGTATTTCAGATAAAAATATGTATATTTGAACAATGAAGTAGAGAATATTGTTATGCTTTAAAAAAAAAAAGAACTGTGACACGGAGGTTAAGGATGGCGTGTAAATCCTCACTCTACCGCTGGTCATCTAACATCGATAACCTTCACCTCTGGAACTCACTTTCCTCACTGGTAGGAGCTTCTCAGGGGCGAAGGTTCCACTAACACAACGAGGAAGGAACTTTTCTTTAGCCCTCCGTCCTTCCTGCTGGCTAGATGTAGCCAGGCCCGCTGGAGCTCAGGTCGGCGGCTCAGCCCAGGAGCCCACTCATTAAAAGACACGTGTGTCCCTGGGTCCAAGGGCTGTGGGGCCACCTGCCACGCTGGCCCATGCGGTGCTCATCTGGATTGCTTTTCATGAGAGAAATAAACTTCAGTCTTTGGTAAGCCAGTGTTATTTTGAGGTTTTCTATGACATGCAATTGAACTCAGTAAGCCCTGAATAAATGGTTGCCATGTGCTCCTCGGGTCAAGCAAGGAGGCATGAGAGGGGGGTGTGTGGAGAAGGGGACAGGACGTGGGGACAGGACGGAACACCCAGAGGCTTTCCTCTGGGGCCATTACCACTGGTTCTGGTACCAGGGGTGGAGGGTGGGGTGGGGTCCTGTTTACATGTAGCCTCAGGCTGCAGAAACAAGAACCCCAAACTCACACCCAGAGTGAGCTCTGCCCACAAGGACACCAGAGGCAAAGCAGGGCAGGCAGCAAAGGCAGCTGATTTCGTGAGGGGCCATGGACGAAATGACAGATTGTGAATGTCTTCTGAACTGTGAGAGGCTATTTGGCTATAGATCTCTAACCAAAAACCTACAAGCGATCCCAGGACATGCAAACTCAGCCCTGCCCAGGGAGGACGGAGGTCAGCTGGAGGGAGGGGTGCCCTCCCACCAAACAGTGATGCTTCCTCCCAGAGGCTTCTGGAACGTGTAAGCAGCATCTCTGGCAATGAAACCCAAGTGGGTGATTCCATCTAGTGCTATTAAAAGGCTACAGGAGATACACATTAAAAAATATCAGTTCCTGTTTTCTGTCTAACAAGCTAAAAAACAGACAGCTGTTGCCACAGGCAACAGATTCCCTCCCAGCACCAGTCTTACTTATCCAGGAGAGGACAGCAGCCAAACCAGAGTGAGTCCCACCCCGCCTGGACCAGGCCGACCCCAACCCTTACAAAGTTGTGCAACCCAGCAAAGGAAGGCTGCCCCCTTGTGTCAGTTGAGCAGGGCGACCTGGGCAACTCCTGGGCTCCCAGAGTCCACCCCAAGCCAGGGAATCAGGCCACCGTGACTAGGAAGGCCGGCTCACCTCTGCTGCTCCGGTTTGATATCAAAGAGGTGCAGCTCCCTCCTCTGTCGGGCAGAAAGGCCTTTGGATTTCTTCCTCCTCTCCCTTCGCTTGGGGCGAGTGAAGTACTCCAGAATGACTGCCTTGCGGTCCAGCTGGTCCTCACGGGCTTGCTGGCTCATGTGGGGGGTGCTGCGCTTCAGGAAGGCCTTCATGAAAGCCTCAGCCCGCTGGGCTCCCATCTGCTGCCCAGGGATGAAGCGGCAGAGTGCTCACTGATCGGCTTGGGCAGCCTGGGGTCCTCACACTGCCTCTGTTGACTGTCTACCCTGGGGCCTACACACGACACTCACCTCCCAGGCCGTCTGTCCATCCACCCTGGCCCCCCACCCCCCGCCTCACCGGCCATACATAAAGACCACACACGACACTGACTCTTGTCCTGCACTTTTGAGGTTATTTTAATGAGGATCAAAACCTTTGTATTTGGAAGAAGACCTCTCTCATTCTCAGCAGAGGCTTGAGAAATGTCTGACAAAGGTATATGATCAGTCATGATCAGAGGGCGGCCAGCTCAGGGTAGATCCACACCACAGCCATGAAGGAAGCGCCCTAACCCCAGGGAAAACTGACAGAGCAGGGCCCTAACCCCAGGGAGAGCTGACAGAGCAAGTGCTCTGGGTGGCCCAGCCTCTGAGGTGGGAATTCTGACACTGTGCTCATGTGGTAATCCCCTTTACTTGGTTTTCAGCCCTGTGGACACAGCATGGCTATTCTCCAAGGGGCAGAAAGGAACTGTCAGAGATCTCAGGCCCTGCACTCACGCTTCCCAACAAAAGCAGCATCGAGTAACAGTGAATAAGCAGCAGGCTCCTGGACAGGACTTCTGAGCCCAATAACTGTCATAATCGTGTGTAATTCTCAAAAAACTCTAAGAATCACTACCCGTCCCCACTTGGCAACACTGCCTGGGGAGCATTCTCTCTGAGGTCCTGTCCCTTGGCTGGACCATTGCTGGGTGGTCATGGCCCTTTGAATAACCTCAAGAATGCAGGACAAGAGTCAGTGTTGTGTGTGGCCTTTATGTATGGCAGGTGAGGGTGTGTGTGGGGCCCAGGGTGGACAGGCTGGGTCCTATCCCTTGGCTGGACCCAGCAAGGGCCCTTGCTGCACTAACAGACTATAAACACTGAGGCTGAAAGACTGATGCTAATCTGTCCAAAGTAATCAAGCCCCCTCCATGGAGAGAAACAGACATGAGAAGATATGACACACACAATCCTTAAGGCAGTTCAGTGAGCATGGCAGGGAGTGTATGCTTCAGCTTTGTCCTTTTAGATGCCAAACAAGAATTAACTTGTTATCATCATTAGTCCTATGAGAGGACAGCTACTTGATTCTTACAAATATCTAAGTGGCCGCCCTTTCATGGAGAAGTGAATCAAAGGTATGCCGATCTTCCAAAATCTTGACTTCAAGGTAATGCTCTTGTTAAGAGCTGCAAGTGGGACTTTTGAACAGAACACCTTGAAGGATCCAAATGTAATCTGTAAATCCCACTTACGAAATGTGACTTGCATGCCTTCTTTAGAAGTGATGGGGACACAGTGATGGGGTCAGACAACGGTGCTCATGGCCTCTACACAGGGAGAGGTGACATCAAGAACTTGACTTTGATTCAATTGGAAAGGAGGCTGGTATGTGGGAACAGGTCATCAGAATATCAGACCTTGATTGAGCCTAAGATATCTACTGGAAAAATGAGTCATGGGAAAGGACATCTAAACCAGCTCTAGAGGCTTAGAAGCCACTGAACCATCTTCACACCACCTCTGTTGCTCCCAGACATTCCACCAAGAACTGTACCTGGACACCCAAGTCTTTTGCCTCTTTCTGAGAAAAGGCATGGTAGATCACACCTGCGGGATTAAAAAAAGAAGAAATAATCAATTCTTATTAGGTATGGCTGCAAGACTCAGACTCTTCTAACTACAATATTAATATGCTTATTCAGACACAGGAGAAGCAGGGGTTGGTAGGAAGAGCAAAGGTTTCTCACCCTGCCCTCTGGCCACATATATCCTAGAAGTTCCAAGGGTATGGTTTAAAAAGAGGGCTTCTCAAAATTTAATGTGTGTAAAAATCTCTGGGATCTTATTAAAATCCCAGATGCCCCTAGATCCTGCAGTTCTAACAAGTTTCCAGATGCTATGGCTGGTTAAGAGATCACATTTTGAGTTGCACTGGTTTAAAACACCATAGGTTAGAAGTCCAAGCAGTCACTTGCTAAGTCTAACAAAGTAACTTATTTGAAAGTTATGAGATATAGCTGTCCAGGATGCAGATAGTTGGAGATAAAATTTTGTTGATTGTAAGATGTTAAAAAAGGTTGTTCACATTTTAATCTATGAAACCATAATGTATCATATAATTGATGGTATCTTGAACTGATAAATTGCAATAGGTCTTTCTTCAGATTCAATGTGGTTTCAACTTCTGAATAATTAAACACTCCTGTTTCTTATTTGTCTGAATAAGAAAACTGTGGCACTAGAGACAGAGTACAGTTCTGAATGGAGTAAGAATGGGACAAAGGCCTGGTTTAAAGGCCAAATGACTCGAAAATTCAATTCACACTACACTATAAATTTCATCCAGCTCTCTTGTGCTTCCCTGAGTGTGTGTGATCAACAAATCAAGCTGGTTTCAAATTTTATATATAGAGTCTAGTTCTCCCTCAAATGGAAGATGGGGATTATAACCTAGGTGCAGAGAGCAGCTTGAATGGCTCCCTTGTTACAGGTGCCAGGCATCAAGTCTTTACACAATACACATCTAACAGTTATTGAAGACTCATTACTTGCCGGGCACCCGATTAAAATCTACACATTTTTTTTTCATCTAATTACACTTATGCATATAAGAAAATTGAAGTTCGGATGTGCTGAGACACTAAACTTGATCATGTAGGTAGGGAGTGGCAGAGTGGAAAACACAATCCTGATCGAAGGCCCAGTCCTAATAGTGTGTAGATCCCTTGCTCTGATGCTTGCTCCCCACTTTGGCCCATCTCTTCTCCGCGCCAAGTCCCAAAGCTTTGGGTTAGTGACGTCATTCTCTAGCAGCTCTGGGCGCTCTACATCAGACAAGGGTGGAAAACCCGGCAGAGGAGAGGTGCAGGGCCTGGACTGCGGTGCCCACAGAGGTAGTGACCACGCGCCCCACAGAGAGACGGCCCCGGAGGCCTGCCTGCCTCAGCCTGACATCAATGCTTGGCTCGGCGACTGCTGCACGCTCTGGCCCTCACTTTCTTTTATGTAAGGTGAGGACATTCCCGTAGCAGTTCTGTTCGGACTCCGCAGAGACAGGCAGCCTGGACCCGTCCCGTCCACCACCACCAAGTCCCCGACCCGAAACATCCCCACCCCTCCGCAATGTCGCGGCCCCGCTTACTCTTCATTTTCAGGCTGCTTCCGGCGCGCTCCGATTTACGTTTACTTCAGCCGTCGCTCTTTCCCTTTCTCCACTTTGTTCAGAAGCCGTCGGCCACCTAAGCCTCTAACGTCAAGGTTCCCGCTGGAAAGGTTTCCTGCGCCCGCGGCCGGTAAGCGTGGCCCATAGGTCGACCCGCTCTGGCTGGCAGCAAGGCCCGGAAGCGCTCGGAACTCGGAGATGACGCACCATGACGTCAAGGACGCGCGCCGACCTGCAGCGGCGCATGCGCCTGGAGGTAGACTCCGCGGCGGGTGGAGGTGAGTGTGCTGCTGAGGGCGGCGGGTGGCTTAGTTTCTTGGGGATTTTGCAGCTTGTGTCGTTTGTAGGCTGGGCAGTAGTCTCGGTGACTCATCCTGGACTCCGAGACGGGCACATTTCCCCCGGGAGGGGCGCCGAAGAGCCGCGGGACCTCCGGGACGCGACCCCGCGGTAGGCCGTGCGGCCGCCGGAAGGTTTACTTCCGCGTCTCGGCTCTGGGCGAGTTGTCCCTCGGCCCGGGCGCTCTCGTTCCCGTTCCTCTCTGGCAGCGTTTCCCTCTTCTCTCGTTTCTCTTTCGCTCCTGGCTGGTGTAGGGATCTCCGGAATAAGGGGTTCTGTACCTTCTGTATTAAGCTTTAAGATCCCTTCTGGCCGACGTCGGGTTCTGAGCAGCGTCCAAGAAACCCTCGAGACTGGGCAGCTGTTGGGGCGGGTCCTGCCGCCGGCCCACGGTTTTCTTGGTTCTTTCTTGCTTTTTCTCCCCACTCTCCCACTCCCGTACCATTGCTCTGAGTGGGTCTCTGTCTCTGAGATCCATCTACACTTTTGTCCCCTCCTGCCGTTAGTTAACCCTTCACCTCGACGTGTGACTCGCGGAGGTGGCAGGGACCTGTTCCATCTCGTGCAGATCTAGGGGGCCTAGGCTTTCCCGGACAGAGGTCTAGTGAGGGTAGTGGGGGTATCGCTCCAGAGCTGTGGTTGGAAGGCGGCACATCTCCTTTTCTCCTCTCACTCTTTCAATTGTTCTTTTTCACACTTCCCTCTTAGGACTCACTTTTTCAGTCGGGCTCCTCCTCTGAGATGTGCCAATAATTTCATACTCTCCTGTCTTCCTAGACAAAGGAAACTTTTTGCCCCTTTACTTCCCTCTTTATCTCACCCTGTTTTCCATCCAGACTCGAGTATTCTTCCTTTTGTCTACTCCGGGCTATTCCTCCCAGACAGAGCTCTGAGTCTACTTTTCTCTCCCCACATTCTTTACTTCTGACTGGGGAGACTTCATTACCCTTGAACTCCTCACCAGAACACTGATCTACCAGTATCTCACTCCCACTTCATTTTGCCCTGCCATCCATGAGCTCCCACTTGACGAGCTTTCTGATAGCCTTATTTCCCCCACTGGCTTCTCATAATTAGGGCCCTTCTTGTCTTGGCTGAGATGAACCTGCTGTCGTTGTCTGACAGCTCAATCCTTAAGCTTTCACCTCCTCCTGACTAGTGACCCTAGGCCCTAAATGGGGCAAAAGATATTCTAAGGAATGGGGACTTTTTTTTTTTTTTTGGAGATAGAGTCACTTTCTTGCCCCTAGTAGAGTGCTACGGGGTCACATCTCACAGCAAACTCAAACTCCTAGGCAAAAGTGATTCTGTTGCCTCAGCCTCCCAAGTAGCTGGTACAATGCATGGCTATTTTTTAGAGATGGGGTCTCACTCTTGCTTAGGCTGGTCTCACACTCATGAGTTCAAGCAGTCCTGCCTCGGCCTTCCAGAGTGCTGGGATTACAAGTGTGAGCCACTGCACCTGGCCCAAGGGACCTTCTTTCTTGAGGGTGGAAGGATTATCTTGCTATCTCCCTTACGCCTAGGCTTGTGCAACTCAGGCACACTCTTGTAACGAATATATCTTTGCCTCTGCTGTTTATGAGAGCAAGCATGTACAGATCATGTCTGGCACAATTTAGGAGGAACTAAGGCAGAACTCCCTTATGGCCTTTGACCTTGCACAAAGGAGGCAAAATTCCTGTGCTCAGGAGCTGGCCAGGAGGCTGGGGCATGTAGGTGCATTACCAGTATGTCTCAAGGACCTCTGAGTTGTGGTTTTGCAAGATTAAGTTACTGCCTCCAGATGGCCTGAGGCTGCAAAGAGCAGACAGGCAATCAGCCTTTTCCCCCACAGCAGTTTCCATATCTATCTAGAAGTGGGCTAGGGAGTTGACAGTGTGCTATTCCCTGGCTACTATTTTGAGTGTAGTAGATAACTTAGAAGAATGTGTTTCACTTGAAAAGTTACTCTGTTTTTTACATTATGTCAGTGAGGTAATGGTATGAACCTTAACAGTGTGTACATGCAGCACTGGCTATTTAAGCTGGGAGGGAATAAAGAAGTTTGCTATTTGCCATCTAAAAGGTGGTAGTCCCCTTTATTGCACACAATTTCAATTGCAGGTCTATAACTCTGCATCACTGACCACTCACAAGAAATGTCATGCAACATGTCGCCTGCCTTGCAGCCACACATAAGGAGCCCTCCTGTCCAGCTTGGGCACCGCTGCCTGTGTTGTTTCTGTGTTTCCTTCTCAGACCTGTGGGGACCAAGATTCCTTCACCTGAAGGAATCCTGGGCTGACTCCTGGGCCCACAGGGTCTCCAATTCCATAGAGGTTCCTTGGTAGACGCTGTGTCCTACCCTAGGACTTCAGGACCCTGTAACCAAGGGTCACAGAAGAGGCAGAATTAGACGTGGGCAACATTCCCAGCATTCCCTGAGACTCTGCTGGGATGCATTCTCTGTGACAGGGGGCAGTCACAGAAATGGGGAGAAATCCCCTACGTGCAAGCTTTTATGAAACTATCAAAATCCTGGGTGATGGGGCTCATTTTGCATGTGTGGCCTTTACCATTCCCAGGTTGTCTCTGTGGGTGAAGAGCCAGAGCCAGATCTGCCCACTGATCCATTTTCCAGGCCACTACTCAATCTTCCTGGCCCTGGGTCTTATCTACGGTGCCTGCTAGTCCTCCTTCAGCTGCCAAGCCTCTCCTATACCTGGATTAGGTTCCTAGAGCCCCCACTACTGTTGCAGGTGGAATTCCAAACTGCCACCTGCCTTTACCTCACCACCAGTCCAAGGTCTTTATCACCTACGGGAGATAGCTAATGGACAAGGGGTACTAATGTGGGTTCAAGTCCCTTTCTCCATGGTAAAGCAGAGAGTATGAAAAGAAAGCTTTGGCCAGTTCTCAGAGGACCCTGGCAAGGGTAGGGAGGAATTTGTAAAGCAAACATGAGCTTTTACCTTAACCTGCAAGATGTGATAGTGATTTTAGCCAATTGCTGCACTTCAGACAGAAAGTCTCAGTTTCTCGGAGGGGCAGGACACATCCAGGCTCTTCAAACAGGCCAATACACCAACGTGCTCTTTGTTGAGCTTTAGGGAAGGCAGTCCCACAGCAGGGCAGCTGGTGGGGTCTTGGAGATGAGATAGACATAAGATGGTCACTTTATTTCCTGTGTAGCTGAAGGAATGAGAAGACACACAATAAAGCATGACAAGGTTAGGGAAGTCACCCAGACGAGAGAAGAGAAAACCAGCAGTTTCCCTCCCCGGGGTTACTGAAACCAGCAGATGTACTGATGCTGACTCACGCGTCAAAAGCAAAAGCCTTGCTCACTGTGCATTTTATCCCTCTGGTCTGGACAGCAGAAGAAAGCTACAAAAGTTAGAGGCAGGACCGGAAACCTCAATGTCAGTATTGGTAGAGGAGGCTTGTAAGGTGCTCAGTGACAGATCAGAGGTAACCAACCAGTTAAGAAGTGCAGCTCTTGGCCGCCTTGATTAGCGCGCCACCTTGTGGCCGCCCAGAAGCAGAGCAGTCCAGCCCCACAGCCAGCGTGAGGCCCAACCAGTGTGCCTGTTGCTGGAAGGAAGGGCACTGGAAGAGGGGTGTCCTGATGGTCTAGAGCTGGGAGATTGCTTGATATCCCAGCCAGAAACCCCCTGTGAAGGGAAAGTCAGTGTCACTGATTGACAGGATCAGAGCCTTCCTGGCTTGACCTCTGTCATCACTCCAGCAGAGCCTTGGCCTGCCTGCTGCTGACGTGGTAGGTGGGAAACTGAATGTCTTTCTGACACTGGGAGCCACCTGCTCTGTCCTGACTTAGTCTGGGAGCCCCCTCCAACGGTGACTTCTGCTGGCTAGAGTAGGTGGATGACCGAGGTCAGACCCATTCTTTCTTACATGCTCCTGAATGTCCCTCCACTCTGTTGTTAGGTACAGTCCTGTTAAGCAAACTGGGGGCTTCTGTCTCATTAGAAAAAGACAATCTCAAGTTGTCATAGACCAAAGACAAGGAGTCAATTTATTAGCCCTATAATGGCCAGGCAGCAATAATTTCTCTATCCCTGATGAAGTTAAAAACCAGGTTACCTGGTAGCATGGGGCAGATGGTTCCAGAGTGTGCCACTGGAGTTTCCCCTATCGAGGGAAAACCAAAACCAAGAGGAAGATATTCTTGGAAAAAATAATACCTGTTGCAACTTGAAGCCCTAAGAGGAATTTAGCCATTACTTACCAAATTCCTAAAACATGGGTTAATAAAAGCCTGTTATTTACCCTGTATTTTCCCCATACTTTCCATCCAAAAGCCAAATGATGGCTGGGCGCAGTGGCTCACCCTGGCATGGCCAGTACTCTGGGAGGCTGAGGCAGGTGGATTGCTTGAGACCAGCCTGAGCAGGAGTGAGATTCTGTCTCTACTAAAAGAAAAACTAGCCTGACCTGGTGGGGAGTGCCTAGTCCCGACTACACAGGAGGTGGAGGCAGGAGGATCACTTGCGCCCAAGAGTTTGAGGTTGCTGTGAGATACGACAGCACAGTACTCTACCCAAGGCAACACAGTGTGACTGTCTCAAAAAAAATAAAAGCCAAATGTCAAGGACCCTTTGTACAAGACTTAAGGTGATAACGAGGCTGTTCCCACTCAGATTCCACCCCCATGTGCCTGCAGGAGGGACGTGAGTACCCTCTGCATAGACATTACTTTTGCTGGCTGGGCTTTGGCAAAAGTAGTGTCTGACCTGGTCTGAGAAGGGCCCTGAAGCTCACAGAGGTCTCCTGTGGCA